TGACATTCTGTGCTCTTAGAGCTTTACAGTTAGAAACATTGTTTAAAATATTGCAAGAGTGTGAGAAGTGTTTAAACCACGCATCGGCACCGATATAAAGACGTTTTAAACACTTCTCACACTCTTGCAATATTTTAAACAATGTTTCTAAACTGTAAAGCTCTAAGAGCACAGAATGTCATGATTACAGCTCCCTGCCTTCTCTGCTCTTTGCCTCCTGTGAGCGCTCATGGCCACGCCCACTTCTCCGCTCTGTAGCTGAACAGCTGACCAGCTACAGCAGGAAGTTTATAATGCAGTAAGAGCTGCACAACGGTGCAGGATGAAGCTTTTTCTGCAGCTCTGGGCTGCACACAGGTGCAGCAGGTGTCCAATAATTTAAAATAATTTATTTTAAATAAAAATTCCATGCCAATAGTGTGGCTCATCCATCAATTAGCCATTTCTGTGTCATGTCCAATCTTATTTTGAAAAACCGCAATAAAGCGAGCACGCGATAAAAGAACCACGAAATAGCGAGGGACTACTGTATTCTTAATTTGATATTCTAGTTAATCTGAGCAAAGAAATTTCATTAAGTGTTTGCTGTTACCTGTTGAGGTATGAAGTTCCAGAACTGGCTATTTCCTCCTGACCCTGAGTCACATAGAAGAACATGGGCTTATCAGGCTGAGGCCACTGGAAATCGAAGCCTTTCTTGATGCGATCAGCTGGAAGAAAAATAAAAGCTTTTGAATCTTTACCCTGTTGATGTAAAAGTGTGTTTGAGAATAAAATCAAATATTTCTGTCAAACCTGCGGTGACGCCATTCTGCAGGGAACCCTCGTAGAAGATGTTGGAGGGGAAGGCACTGAGAGCTGGGTGCATGCGGTACTGGACCTGCAGGCGGATTGGCCGGATTCCCAGAACCACCAATCGTTCAAACAGAGACTGGGACAGACCTGCCTTGGCTGCCTTCTTACACATCACAACAGGTCCGAGCTGGCAGTGGTCGCCAACAAGAATAAGCTAAAATAATAATAAATCACACAAATGTGGGTTAGTTTAATAAAATACTTCAAGAATTCATAAACAAAATTTGACTCAAAATAATTTAATTAGTAACGATCACACGTAATTGCAGTCACAGCTGTTAAGCACAAAGATTTTTGCCCTAATCCGCATATTAACCTTTTCTGAGAGAACATGTGCAATGGACACATTAGCTGTTTTGCATTTCACCAGCTGTTTTTTTTTTTATTTGGACTGTGTGCATTTTGGTACCTGCTTTGCCCCCAAAACCACAGGCACCATGCACTCGGGTTCAGTGGCCTGAGTGCTCTCATCGATCAGGATGGAACGAAACTGCATCTTGGCCAGACGGGGATCTCCAGCTCCAACACAGGTGCAGCAAATCACATCAGCATTCTGAACAATAAAAAAAAGAAGAAGATTTTAAATTCTTACGAGATGTCACAAAAAGAGAAAAGCATCGGATCATTTTCTAAGGGGCAGCCGTCAAGAAGTTTAATGTCCAGTTCTTGCTTTTAATCCTCCAAAGCGCACTTTACTAGTCAGCTTTGTCCATTTACTCTTGTAATAAAACATTTGAGATGCTACAAGAGTTAACGACACGATGCAAAAATAAAACGGCAGTAATTTGTTTTCTGGCAGCACATTTAGGATGACAGATGAGGCCAACAACTTTTCGGTCGTGATTTGATTTTGACTCGTCTACAGTATCAGTAAGAGTGGAAATGATTAGCGTAACAGAAGAAAATAAATTCTCCAGACACTTTATTTATTCACACACAAGATCAAAAACAATATTACCTAATCTTTGTGCCAGCAGGGTAGCTGCCACACAATGTCAGATCAAATTATTTAAAACACACGCCCTTTTCCTTTAAATAATTACTTGGGTTGTGGCAAAGAAATTTGACTGCTTCTGTTCTGGGATTGTGTAAAAGCAACTCATATAAGAACATTAAAACAAGACTAAACTCACAGCTATAAATAGTTAATTACCTATAATGACAGCATACACAGATTTGCTCAAACAGCTGCTGTTCTTACAGTTACAGTAAAAGTCCAGAGATCTTCCTTACCATGAGCAGCTCCCTCTCAGCAGTGCGCTTCAAAGCCCTGTAGCGTTTTTCATCAGCAGACGACAGCTCACCAGTCTCATCCTTCAGCTGCTGCAGCTTCTGCAGCTCCGGCATGCTACAGAGGACAAGGACAGCTGTTGAAATCTATCAAAAGTCCCGTCACGAAACTTCGACTTGATCACAGTGGCAATCGCATAATAACAGTATCACTAGTTTATTGCTCACCTGTGACCTGACGTACTTTGATTTGTAAATATGTGACTATTTTAAGGCTAAAAACTGTGACAAGAACTGAGTAAGAGCATAAAAATCCAAAGAATTTTAAACTTCCACATCAAAGATAAAACAACGAGCAAGTCACGTTCCAGTTTATTCAACGTTGGTTAAGAAAGGCTTTAATATAGACCTGAAAACAAAAAAAATCTCAGCATATAGTGACAATAAAAACATCCAAGAGACTTTTGAAACCACTGACCTGTCCATGTTGCTGATCTGGTTGTGCAGAGCCAGAAAAGACACCGGTGACTCAATAGCCTCTCGGCTCTTAGCGCACAGGCGGACTACCTTCAGGCCAGTCTTGTCGATCTTCTCAGTCAACTGGTCCACAGCTATGTTACTGGGAGCACACACCAAAACCGGCCTGCAGGACAAACAAGCAGAATAGGAACATTTAAATCTTCCTCAAAAAAAGAAACAAAAAGGTAGAACACATTTCTTAAAATATTTTTAATTAAAAACTACTCAGCTCACCCATTGCCCTGCCGGGACAGGTGGTAAACAATCGTAGCAGAGGTGACGGTCTTCCCAGTGCCAGGAGGGCCCTGGATCAGACTGAGAGGCCTCTGCAGCACAGTTTTTACAGCGTACACCTGAAGACACACAGGAAGAGAAAAAACAGTGTTTATCACGTCTGCTTGGTGCTATTTATCTAAATTAATATGTATCTGATCACAGTTTATGCTGTTTTCAAGTCTGACCTGTGAGTGATTAAGGTCAGGCAGACCCGGGGCAGTGAAGCGCTTTGGCAGCTGGCACTTGATGGTGACATCTTCGACCTCGTGGCCTAAAAGTTTGTGGTAAATGTAGCCGGACACGGAAGTCTCATCAACAGCAAAGGTTTTCAGGGCGCTCTGCATCCTGTACAGATACAAATGGGAGTTTTCATTCCATTTTTTTCACCGTTAGGAAAAAATTTTACTTTTACCAAAAATAGCATGTTAACATTTTCATTTACTTTTTTTTGTTTGTTAATTAGCTTAATGCTTATTTGCAAAATGTAATGTATCTTAGATATAACTTATGAGAAATTGTAAAAAAAAAAATTGTTTTCAACAGAACTGGAGTGTTGCGATTTCAGCTCACCTGTCAAAAGAGGTGGATTTCCAAACAAAGTCCACCTGGAAGTTGTGTGGGATTTCCACAGGCGCTCCAACGCTGCTCCGCAACTCAATGGCAATTTCATCGCCATAGTCTTTAAACACACAACATTAAGGAAACCAAGGCTTGTCCTAAAAATGGTTCTAAAAAATAAATTGTAGAAGCAGTGTGGACAACTTAGCCAACTCCTAAAGGATACTGTCTGGTACTTTGATGACGTGACCAATGCCCTTCCACAGCGGAGCCAAGTCTCCCTTGTAGCGCAGGCAGATCTCATCACCTTGCATCAGTCGCATGTCTGAAATCGAAACAAACGAGTCAGAGACTTTTTGTGCTAAAACTGCCCAAAAAATGATCTTCTAAAATACCCCACTATAAACAAAAGCGACTAAAACAAAACCACGCAGACATGCCATCAAACGACGCAGGGATCAGCAAGGCTGCATGCAATTCTGATGGCTGATGGGAGGAGGGGAGGAGCTACACCTGCACCACAGAACCACTGGGAGGAAAAAAAGCTTAGAAAATTACCACCTGAATCCGTCTTGGGCAGAGTGAAATACGCAATCCGCTTTTTGTTCAGTCCCAGGTCCCACCTGACTGTTATGTTGTCTTGAGTCTGGAAAAGAAAAAAAGAAGCATAAAGCAACAAATAAAAATGAATAATAATAATAATATTACACAACAGTTGCAACAAAACTAGAGAAAATAAACTATAAAAATATCCAACAGGAGAAATACTGTTGTGATAACAGCTATAAATCAAGTGCTTAATTAACAGATTAAAGTTTCTGTGCTTTTAAAATTTCTGCTCTCATGTAGCTGACCATGGAAACACATCTGTCTAAGTTAATTCAAGTTAGAGGACTCTCTGATGTAGATTTAATGTCTTTGTACCTGGGACTCTTTAAGCTTTTTGTCATAGTCGGCCTCCAGTTTGACCAACGGGCCAAATATATTTTGGTACTGGTAAGCATCCTCGTAGCGCAGCAGCACATGCTGGGGCTCCTCGTCTACACCAGGTTTCTCCAGGTCTTCCAAGGTAGCGGTGGGATTGTCCTATAAGAACAAAGACACCACAAAAACAGCTACTCAAACTCTAAGATCACAAGAACTTCTTTCATTTCCCTCACGGACAGACATCTTTAAAACTAACAGCTGTCATTGTAGACAGCAGCTCTTTAACCTGTGATGGCTGCGTGTTTGAAACACTGCTCTGCCTTCCAAAAAGAAGAGACGGTCTTTACCTTCCAGAGTTCCTCCAGCTTATTGATCTGTTGGGCAGTGATCTGACGAGCTCGGAGTTGCTCCTGCTCTGATGGGATCTTCACCAGCCAGGACAAAAAGCAGCGATCTTGGATCAGTGGCTGCCACTGTGAGCTGTCCCAGTTGATGTCCTTCAGGCTGCTCTGGCTGGCACAGGGCTGCCTATATGGACAGAAAAGGTTTAAACAGACAGTAAAGACAATGTAATAAAATCTGCACAACAGAGAGGACACATGGACGTTGATTTCAACTCCTCAGAGTTTTTAAGATTCTCCCATCTAACTGTATTTGTTAGTCCAATTAGAACAACTATCATCAAGTTAAAATATCTGACCTATACAAGTATCAGTTTAGTCATTTTAAACATCGTTCTACTATTTTCTGCAAGATTCAAAATCACAATTCAGTGCAGGAGCCTGTAAACACTTAAATTTACAGGACTAAAACCTATATAAGTCCTAATGAATAAACATTACAGAAAACCTGACTCTTCAAAGTAGGAATCTAAATAATCAGATTCTCAGATGTTACGTGTTCTCTTATGAACACGAAAAATAATGAGAATTTAAGGGCAGTGTTATACAACAACCAGCCAGAGAACAGACATCTGCTTTTCACACTTACCTGCAAAGAAGCACCACCACAGAGTCAGCTTTGGCCGGGATAAAGCCCAGGAGGAAGACGTTGCGACATCCACAGTTGTAGCACTCCAGCACAGTTTCACCCAGCGGTCCATCTTTATGCAGTGTCACCTCTTTGCATTTGGCCCTCACCATGTGGTTCACAATGTGGCTGGAAGTTAATAAACTTGTAATGAAACAACTGATAAAGCTGTTCATTTTGTTGTAATAACAGTTTGCAAATCATATCATCACACTTATCTAAATAACATTAAGGCTAAGAAGGTTACGAACCTGCCAGATGTGTTGCCACGACCATTACAGAACCACTTCTTGCTGGTGTTACAGTACACCACACATGCCGGGTCATGAATACCACAATAGCTGCAAACCAAAAAGCATTTGAGATGCTGCATTAACTAGAAAGAACGTGTATTTATCATTGACCATAAGCACACAGCACTCGTCTAAGTAGCATTTTTTGAAGGAAACATGGGAATTATTAATCTTGTCTTGTATACCTGACATAGTTTTAAAAGCGATCATTTTTTTAATAGTGTGAGTTTGGTACCTTTACATCTACTTAAAGATTTTGTTCCAGTAAATTAAATAACGGTCAGTACAGTATAAATTATGACATTAAGCACAAGAATCAGAAAAACTATCCATCCATTCCTGCGGCATCAATAGAGTTCAAGCTCATCTTTATCTTAATATTTTACCCGCTTCTTCCTTTTCAGGTCCATCCAAATGGATGTGACAACGATTGTGACAGTGGATAGATGCGATTATTGTTAGACCTATTTTTAAGACTCATGGCATGAACTGATCATCAAACTTGAATAGTATATTTGACACCATGACGATAAACTGTTTTGACAGACACACAGGATCGAGACTGTTATTGTTTTTATGGTACGTATACACTGGGTTTGTTGTGTAAAAAACAAAATAAAATAAATCATGATTGTGATGACGGGGTGACAGTGATGACAGATGAAGCTACACAGAGATGCACATGTGGTGCTCCTGTTAGTCTGACAGTACCTGCATGCGTGTACGGGAAGGTCTTTGGTGTAATACGTGTCTTCTTCATCCTCCTCGAAGTTCAGCTCGCCCAACAACTGGCTGGTTTTGATCACGGAGTCATCCAACCCTCCGTTGTGGAGACCTTCATCTGGACCATTAACCTGCAGCACAGCAAAAATCGTTTTAGCAAACACACCAACGATGCTAACGAAGATGCTAACGGCTGAGGTGCACAGCGCGGAAAAACCAGTTAATAACAGGTTGAAAGAATAACAGCGTTTACAAATCCTCGTGTCTTTCCAAACCAGTGAGTTCGGTTTACATCGAAAAGTTCACAAAAACGCATTGAGGCGATTGGCGTGTGATCAGAAGTTCAGTTAACGGTCTTCTAACCGAGCTAACGCGAAGCTAAGCGAGGCTAAATTTAATGAGAGCGGGCTAACTAGGAGCTAACTCTTGCTAACGTCATTACCGCGCGTTCATGAGAAATTGAAAGCGTCAAACCTGGCCGTCCAGCTGGCTCTGGGCTTGAGTTTGGGTCTGACTGGGAAGCGTGAAATCGGTGAAGTCGTACTCGGAGCCCTGGGTGTCCGCTCCGAGCAGCTCGGCTTCCTCAGTGTCCAGGAAGGTGAGGGTTTGGGAGCTCGGCCCGTACGCCTCCACACTCATTTTCCAACCCTTAACTTTCGTTTTACTCCACGGTTTCAGCAGCTGCGCAAAAACAATTCAAATCCACAATGTGTTTATTTGTCGATATATATCCTTAATACGGTCGCCTAGAGACTGAAATTGAACCCAAATAAAAAAAATGGAGACGATCAGAACCTCGAAAGGTATTGCGGGGTTCAACCGAGAGAGGCAGTGAGCGACGGTGACGGACTTCCCTGCGCCGCTCGACGTGTGACGTAGCAGGAGGCTGGACGGCACAGATAGGAAAAAAATTGAAGAGCGTACACTCTGTTTTTTTTTATTACGTAGTTTGTTTTGCTTTTGTTCAATATCAAATCTGAAAAATTACCCCCACTCCCAGGATTTTTATCAGTAAACATTTAGTATTTAGAGTGCTAAATATTCTTCTTGATTTTTTTAAAAATTGTTGTTCACACTGAGCTTCCAGAGTAATTAATGTATACATCTACTATTAGGCCTCCAAATCTCACTCTGAAATAAACTATATTCAGTCCAATCAAAGAACATCAAAATGTTAAAAGATGATTCTCAAACTTTTTCACTCTTGACCTACAAAATAACAGTGACAAATATTTGCAACCCTGGCAATCATTGATTGAAGTAAACAAACATTGCTACATTGCAGTCAGTTAACAAGTTCATAATGACAGTACAGCCTCAATAACCATGGTATTAATATTTTCTAATCGGTTTATGACAATTTTTATTTCTTATAACATTGATGGCAATTAAAAAAAAGGCCATCAGCAATATTATTTGAACTCTGCAATTATCTCAGGAACCTCTACGTCATGTTTCACAGACCAAAATGGGGTCCTGACCTTAAGATTTTAAGTTGTCCACATTGTGCTTAAATTACGTTAAAAAAATGAAAAAGCAAAGGGGAACATATCCATAGAAGCATTAAGTTACTTCAGTGTAACAAGACAATTCATTCAGCTGCTATAAACCCATAACGGAAACTAATTTTTGTAATCTCCTGATGCATGCTCAATAATCCAGGTAGAAAAATCTAAAGAAGTTAAGTCTGGTCCTCTGGACATTCATTCATTTTTGTAATACGTGGTGAAAGTAAGGATTGGAGTTTTTAAGGGTTTTGAGTTTTAACAAGAGTGGCTTGTCAGTGAGCACAATTATGGAGTGTTAACGACACCAAATATGCTCATTACACATAATCATTTAGTTTTCTTTATTTCAAAGCCTTTCTTTTACAGAGTGAGATTACTGTTACAGTGCTTTGTTAATGACACATAGACACTCCCTCAACACAGGAACGCACAATAAATCACAGAGGCATGATGTAGGTGTACAACAGAGCACACACTAAGATAGAAAAGTATTTGTGAGGTAGCCACACACATGAACGGACAGCATCAATAAGACATCTTTGAATCGACCCAGTGGGGATTAATAAGTCCTTTTCATGACACACACGAACAACAGCAAGGCACAGGAGAGGGTCAGGGGTCACCTCATAGGTAAACTTGAGGCCGAAGTTCTGCAGCTTCTCCACAACCCTTTCAGCACCCACAAAGCCACACTGCGAACTGCCAGATTTCACAAACTCCGACCTAAAGCGTCCAGGTCTACCAACGCTAACAACCGAGATGCTAAATAACAAAAGGTTATAATACGAGTTGGTGGTAAAAACACAGCGCAAAATTGTATTAAAAACAACAAATGCAGTTAAAAATATTTTACCTGAACTCAGTGGTACCAGATTGCTTAAGCGATATGGTGTTCTGAACAAATTTAGCTTTTTTTCCCAGCCATGTTACAACAGTTCAGTCCAGTGGTTCTGTTGGGCTTTGACAGGGTGCTGATGCAGCATTTAGTCGACTCACTGCTAAATTGTTTAACTGCAATCAAACTGAAGTGGTGTTACGCGCTGTGTAAAGGAGACTCTGGTCTACACAGCAAAACTTAACAAAATTCAATATAACAAAAGCTATAAAATAGCACATTTATAACTGGGAGTGTCACCATCATAAATACAGCGATGGGGCTTTCTGCTGAAAATGAATATAAAATAAAATAATAAAACTTATCAAGTTACACATCATAATAAATTGCTGGTTAGGAACAAAATATGTTCAATATAATTCTGTGTGTGTGTACACGGAAAGCTACATCATCCAAGATAAAGTGACTGGAAATTAAAAAAAATAAAAAATGCAACCATTCACATTGCTTGACAAATGCTGTCCAAGTTTCAGATTAGGTAAAAGCAACTTACACAAACTAAAAGTGCAACAGAAATAAAGTTAAAGGCCCAGCTCTGACAGAACATGAAGTTCAACTTCATTAAACCATTTTCTCACATAAAAATAAGTAGCTACCATAATAAACCTTTAGTGAAGAGGACATCAGAAAGCTTTTCAATACGAGGAACAATTAGGGCTGCACAACTATGGGGAAAAAGTTTACATATTTTGGTTGAGTTGCATTTTTTTTTTGTTTTGTTTTGTACACAGTTTAGGATTAAATCTCGCTGTGACACAAAGTCAAAAGTATTCCCACACATTGATAAACGAAAAATTCAAAACCACTTTGACATCTGAGTGCAGTCAGGTAGAATATTCTCTCATGCGGTTCATCCTCGACACTCCTGGAGTTCATCAAAGAGAGAAACAAACAATAGGCAGTTTAGATTGTGCAACATGTTCGTTCGCTAGTTTTATAACATTTTCCTTTTAAAGGAAATTCTCCTCTTTCAAGTAGCCAGAAAAAAAAACCTAACTGAGGCTTAAAACACAAAATTTCCTCAACAGTTGCGCAGCTGTCATAGACGTGTTTGTTTCTGCAGGTTTTGCGAATGAGATCTGTAAAATTACATTGCACAGCTCAAGGTCAGATCTCAGTGGCGTGGATTTAAAAATGTTATTCTTCTGTCAGAGCTGGGCCGTCAAACTGGGGAAGTATGAGCTGGAACCAACCCGTTCCCTGATTTAAAACAAACCTTTGTAAAAGAAGGCAAAATTACATCTTCTTATAAAGAAAAGGGACTCGAGGAACAATTTAACATTAAAAAAAAAAAAAAAGAAAACACACGTAGAGAGAAGAGACGGAAAAGGAAAGAAAATAGCACACGATTAACTTCTAAACATTCCTACTAAAAACATATTGCATCATGAACATTATGTATGGGCCTTTAGGTGTCAACACCTGATGACTGAGACTTTTTGATGGAGCAGAATCTAAATTAAAGATTTCCTATCTAAGGAAGACGCATTCTGATGCTGCAGTTTTCCCAAATGTGCCTTCTACAACCATCACAATAACCCTAACCCTATAAGGTGCTTTAATAGAAGTCACATTTGGGCTTTAAGATCATAATGTCACATTAGAGACATTACTCTTTGTATCTCCACCATTGACTGCATATGAACACATGTAAGACGCACTCGTGTTCCCTTGGCGATTTAATCTTAATCCCATTTTCAGCTCTAAAGTCAGAATGCTCCCTGGGATAAAAGCTTTGATTACAATGTGGCCAAATGTTGCCTTCAGACTCCCACGTTATCTTTTTTATTACCTTGCTGAGACACAACTGAATCAGGTCTAGCAAAATAACATAAAAAAGTGACTCTGGAAACAGACTAATCTCTAAAGAATCGTTACCTCCAAAACAGAGGACAGTAATAAAAAATAAAAAAGAAGACATTTGGCTACTTGTGGTCAAGTGCAATTTGTCTTGTGTGGCGAAGGGCAGGAGAGGCTGGCCTGAGGTCACTTAGTGGATGTGCTGCTGGCAGTGGATTTTCTTTTCCGCTTGGTCCAGAAGCTCCAGCATCTCCTGGATGATGGCCTGTAACGCGCGGCCCAGTTCGTCCCCGCTGTAAGGCTTTCCTAGCGGAGGCACGTGAATGAAGGCAGAGCGGCCGTGGCTCAGGTACAGAGACGTGTAGTACGTGTAATCACAGAGATACCTGCGACGGAAGAGAAGGGTGGGCATGAATAAAGAACTGAAAACACAGTGGGCCAACCAGTTTTATGGTGATATCACACGGTGATATGACTGACCGTGTGAATATAGCACTTATGAGACAGTTTGTTGTGGCTCATCAGACTGATGAAGTCCTTTGGATGAAGGACGAAACGTTTCAACAAAAGAAACCGTCCAGAGGACCTGACTTAACTTTGTTGGACTTTTTTGTAATCTTTTAAAGTTTAAGGATCAATACTGTAGGAGTTATTTGTCTATTTTTTGTTGAATTTAGTTTATTGGTTTACAAATTAGCTTATTTTTAGGTTTGATTTTTAAATTGGCATTTAAAAAAAAATCATAATTGTTTAGAATAAATGTGTTGGTTAGTAATTTGTTTAGTTTATATATTTATTTTTATTTGGGATGTGGGTATTAGAGGTATAAATATAGAGGCTGTAGGGAGGTTTAGAGGAACGTGGGTGGTTGTATGTTTTTTTTTGCCAGTTGGAGGCGGAGCAACGAGAGGAGCAGTCATGCAGGTGTCCTGACACAGGTGTGTCAGCAAGAGATGCTATGTATCGAATTGTTTGGCTGCCGACTTAGAATAAACCTTCCACAAAATGGATTTTTTGGGACCTTTCCTTTGTACTGCGTTAACCACAAACCCACGGAGCAACAAGTGACTATTTGAGTAATATTCACCTCCAGTTAGATTTTTTGTTTGTTTGTTTGTTTGTTTTTGGTTTTAATGGACAAATGGTCACTACAAATACTTTTTCAGACTTTCTGAAGGACTTTTAAAGCAGTGTCTCTAAATTCTGACTGTCCTTCTTCTGTCCACTCCTTGTCCATGAAGCCTGTGCATAAAAATGAAGTGGACAAGCTCCCATTTAAAACAGTTTCCTTGCTCGGGTTTTTCTTTCATAAATTGACACAACACAGATTAATTCTTCAAATTTAGGGTTCTTTTTATGTATGATTTGTAAAACAGAGTTAAGTAGCTTATTTCTTTTTTTTTTTCCCCCAATGATCAGGCAATAGACTGAAATAATGTATGTAAAGCATTTAAAATGAAAATCCAAAGAAATACAGACAATTTTAAAAGCCTAGAGGAAAGTCTGGATGCTTGGAAGCAAATTATAAAGACGGCGAAAGTGAAAGGGAAAAGATCAAGCTAAAGGCTCTAAAATAAACAACTGGAGCCGAATTTCTTGTTTTGTAGCTTTATAATTACCGTTGTAAAAAAATGGCTTCAAAATAATTAATCTGAAGAAATCTCAGTAATCACATTCAAAGCAGCAGTTGCTGAAAAGTATTTGAAAGCATCCGTGTGTGTAATAACAGGGGAGACAGAGCCATTACTAACACTGTGACATGAATGGCTGTTTCCTCAAGACATAAATCTTGTGGTCCCAATACAGAAGACAAAACAAAAAAAGTTGATTTTATATAAAAAAGATAAAACAAATAAAAGGGAAACAAGTAGAAAGAAAGAATAAATCACCTTCCTGCATCTTGGGAGACGGACACAGCTACTCCCAGACCAGAAGCAGTCACTCTCTTGCAGATCGAGTCCATGTCAATAATGGAGTTGATACAGTCTGGGCCTCCCACAATGCAACACTGTGTGTCTGGACAGAAGCTGCTGTTGTCCAGGCCCTTGTAGCCGTGATTTCTGCCGCACTTCTCCAGTGTCACTTTGGTCGACATACCTGAGACTCCGACATGAACCACCAACTGAGCAGGAAAGAAGTTAAAAAGTTAGAATTACCGTACTTTCTGCCGTATACGTCGCATCAGTCCAAATATGTCTAATAAAATGGAAAAAAAACCCACAAATAAGTCACTTTGCCATATAGGTCGCATCTATTATGCATCACCGCTGACCACTCGGAGACGTGGGCTGGTGTTGTGCCAAAAATTGATTGGTTGTCAAATGGCATCCGCGAGAGCGTGCACGGGAGGACTTTAACAAGAATTTAACAAGATTAACCCTTAAAAACAATTATTGGTTTGCTCGACATTCTAGTAAAGGTGTGTTTCAGTTGAACTTTTCCTTAATAAATGCACTTTAATGGTCAAATCAGCTGCATTTCGCCTGGGTGGCAAAATGCAGCTGATTTGACATTTGCTCCAGGAGTTCTGGAGCAAGACGAAGGTGGTTTGATATGGCAAGCCAAGTGTCTCATTAATAGCCACTTTTACCTATTAATGAGACACTTGGCTTGCCATAAGAGTTGAGGGCCCTCTAGCGGCTGAAAATGATAGTGTTCAATAATTTCCATGTCAGAATGAATGAAATTGTCAGATCTCAGACAAAAATTAGGTTATAAATATGGAAAAAAAAAACGTGTATTTGTTGCTCTGGTGTATAAAGTTGCAAGACTTGCAAATTTATGCAAAAAGGTGCGACTTATTCGGCGAAAAATACAGTACTAAAAAAACCCATCTTGTATCTGTTCAGCTGCTGCTTGTTCAACCAGAGAGCGTTTAAACCTCCATGGCAGTTCCAGCAAAACCCAAAAATGTAAACAAATGTGATCTCATAATGAAATACAAGAAAAAAAGCTTGACTTTATAGCCATTGTGGAGAGATTGTTTCAAAGCCACAATCAAATAATTATTTGTGGAATTATCTGCCTTGGCACACTTTTTTTAAATCAAATTTGTCAATCAGGTCCAGTTAGCATTATCATTTAATTATAGTTTTTTTTTTTTATCAGAATAATTTGAATTCAGACTAAAGAAGACGTAAGTGACTGAATTTCCCCCCTAAAGCTCGAGTGTTATGAGTAAAGAAGTTGTTTTTTCTTACCCGTGGATGATACTGTTTCCACAAAGACGGAACCAAACTCTGGACTTTCTGATACTCCACAGGAACTTCATACACATGCAGGTCCACATTACTGCCCAGACCAAGTTTCTTCAGTTCCTGACAGAACAAACAGAAGCAGCGATGCTAAAACGACTTTCAAGTAAAAAAAAAAAAAACAACTGCAGTAGATGAAAATGCTGTAAATAATAATAAAAACTGCAAATGTAAGCAATTTTGGGAGCACAGACTGTGATGCTTCATCATTCACACTATTGTTGTTGTTGTTTTTTAAACTTTGTTGTTGTTGTTGTGTGTTGTAGTCATTCATTTAGCAAAACATTCAGCTCCTTATGAGAAATAGAAACACAGATTCATTGCTTATGGCTAGCTTTTTACTGCTTTTATCATTTAGATAACTTATTGCTGCGTTTACCTGTAAGTCACTTGATACTTCAGCTTCTAACATGCTGCTACTTTTGCTTTAACCTTAGCTTTTGCTACTTTTGACTTTTAGCTAGTCATTTGTGACTTTTGGCTTTTACCAATTGTTCTGCTTCTTTTAGCCTTTAGCTAGTGTTCAGATTTTTATTTTGTTGTTTAAATTTAGCCACTGTTCTGCTTCTTTTAGCTTTCAGTTAGTATTTTTGCCCGTTTAGCTGGAATAACTCAGCTTCAGTCTCTTCAGCAATTTTCAGCACTCATCGTAAACACAGGATCTGTGCTAAAAATGCAAATGTATTGTTTAATCAATCAATTTAGCTATTTGTAGTAAATTATTAATCACTTATTTCCCCATTATATTTCATTCATAATAACTGCTTAATAGATAGATAGATGTATACTTTATTGTCCCCAAGGGGAAATTTGTCGTCTTTGTCTTAATGATATCATACTTTGCACACTATTATTATTACTACATAATAATAATAAATTACTATTATTTATAATAATTGGTAATTAATAATAATAATTTTTAGCACATGCTGTTTCCTATTCTCATCTAATCCATCTTAACAACACAACAGTAGCATGACGGCTCAGTGGTTAGCACTGTTGCCTCACAGCAAGAAGGTTCTGGGTTCAATCCCCGGGTTGGACCTGGGGTCTTTCTGTGTGGAGTTTGCATGTTCTCTCCGTGCTGCATGGGTTTTCTCCGGGTGCTCCGGTTTCCTCCCACAGGCCAAAAACATGCATGTTAGGCTGCCTTCAGGCCCAGGCCTCCCTTGCAAAAGAGACCTGTGATCTCAGGGGGAGTTTCTAGTTAAATGGAGGTTAATAAATAATAATAAATAAAAATAATTCACTTGGAAGATATACATTGTTCTAAACAAAAGCAGCACGGAAATAAGAACGAAATAAAAGATGCAATAAATAAATATCATAAGCAAGACAAATCTGTGTTAAATTCACACCCAGTGAACCATCACCTCCCCCAGCCCCCCGCAGGACAAGTAGCCCCGAACACTGACCCCTCCACCCCCCACCCCTTCCACGGTATTGAAAAGAGACTAGTCTGACCATGTTTGTGACCCTGCCTCAATGCAGCCTTTTGTTTGCCTCTAATATCCTTATCAAGTCCGTCTAGACACCCTGACAACCACCATCATCCCCCACATGAAGCCTCGGACAAACATGGCTGTGCAGCGTGAAGCCGGCCAGCAGCTACTTCAGCGTCTGCTACACAAGTTCAAATACTGCCTACAACATAGCATGAATAAAATTATGAGTCAAAACGGATATGTAAACACTCAGAGATGGAAGGATTTAGATGGTAAAAATTTCAAAGTACAAACTCGTTTTCATTCTGTTTTTCTTTAAAACACAAACAAATCTTGAACGGAAAATATTGTTATTATGAGCGAGAGAAAGAAAATACCTGGACTGCTACCCAGCTGGCATTGACAGCGTGTTCTCCAAACGGCTCGAAACCTGCAAGAGATGCGATGTTTATTTTGGCAGCGAACGGTTGTAATTATTCCGAGGTTAGTGTTCAGTAGTGCGGACTCTGGACTGAACGTTACCTTTGCAAAAAGCAACGAAGGTGTTGTTTTGTTTCGTTATTTTTTTTAAATGTTTGAGTTTAGCAGCATTTACAAAACATCCTTTACAATGAAAAACAACAACAAAAACACTAGATATTCCTTTGTATTTCAAAGCTTCTTACCAGCTGTAAAAACAAGAATCCAGATCATATTTACACCAAAAAAAAAAAACATGCATGACTTCATAAAACCTGAAGAAAAATATCTCAGGAGCTAATGGGTAGCCGGCCAGGCTTGTTTATACAGGGATCTATTGCTGATCCCCCTCCACCACCCGTCCCGGGGTCAGCGGGTCCCTGGGGGTTGGGTGGAGAAAAGATCAGTCTGTCTGACAGGCTGCTGAAAAGGAGCAGGGCGAGGGGCCAGCAGCTGCCAGCCGGCCTGCTATTGTGAAGGTGCTGTTCCCAGGAAATCTACACATTTACTATCAGACGTGACTGCGAGTTTCTGCACTCTTTTGTGTCTGAGGACGCAAAATCTCAGTCGGCCGGCTCTGCAGAAATTAACAGTTCAAGACAGTAGTTTGTGCAATTAAAACAACATTACATCCATGAAGCAAAATCTGAAGTTGCACTTGGTGTGCATTTTAGAAACATGATCCTGACAGTACAATACATCAATATTCATATAAACATTTTGGACATTTTGACTTAAAAGAAAATTAATGTGACACAAGTTACTGGAAGTCAAGCTCAAAATGTTGAAAATAGCACTTTTATGTATAAGATATTTATCGACACAGTGTGTGTCTATAATGAGGCCTGATGATGAGACAAGGTTTGAAAGTTTTTAAAAGTATAAATGAAAACATTAAAGTGCTACAAACAAACAAAAAAAAAGGAAAATCAAAGCATTATGAATAACAGTTTATCAACTAAACTGGTTTGACAACATTTAGTTTAATAGAAACAGTCTTGCTCTTTCATTTACTGGTTTTGTCTACTTTTATAGCCATTACAGGAAGTTTATCAATTTATGACATACCTTATAAACAGGTTTATAATTGGGTTAACTCTGAGATAATGCTTGAAATAACTTCGCTTTCATGTGTCTGAAGGCTGTGTTTTCAAAACCTAAAGCATTTTTCTCAAATTTTATAATACAGTAAATAATAAACAATACCGACATACTTGACAACAATGTATAAACTACATTTCTTTTTAAAAAAGCTCATTGAATAAGAGTCAAACGAGAAAATGCCATTGACTTCCTAGAAGCATGCAATGATGCAATGAAACATAGTAAAAATGACAAACAAAGCGCTCCTTTCTGTACTCTACCGCAGACCAGAACAACCTGACGCCATTAAGGGCACAGCAGCTGTCATCTTCGCAACTTTTTCCCCACTTTTTTCGTTTTCTAAGCTGCCATCAGACACGACAACAACATAACTTGACGAGACACGAACCTGTCACGATCACAGTTCGGTTACTGTTATCCATCTCCCGGTTTATGAAGTAGAATCCGTAGCTGTTACTCGGGATTTAGGCTGAACCACAATCGGACGGAGAGTCAAAGCCCCCCACAGCTGACGGCTTCTTCTGCCACAATCAAAAGAAACCTGCCGTTCGCCTTCATTCCGCAGCGGTCTACGTCAGATACTACGTCATGACGTCAATGCGTCACATTAAATGTAAGGAAGCTCAAACGGGACAAAACAGGTAAAGACAAAAAAGCAAAACAATAGTTACTTAACACATTGCATTTACATAAAAAGTTGAAACATTTTTATTAAAACATAATGTTTTTATTTACTTAATAGTAATGCATCTCATACTTTTTTCTATTCATCGATTTACATATTTTCATAAATTTACATTTATTACATAATAATCAAAATATATTATTCTTTTTTTCTCTTTGCAACATCAGAAACAGGTGTGAACGAATAACTTCCATAAACCTAAATTATCAAATGTTGAAATTTTTTCCATCAATTATAACAGGTCTCTCTTGTAAATGAGGGCTCAATGGGAATGAATCTGTATAAATAAAGGTTGAATAAATGTGAAAGACCAGAAGTTCTATGTCATATAAGCTTCGCCCTTTAAGGCCTTCGCTTTAGTGGGTTTATCCCGTTATGCAGAGCATAAGCACTGAAAAAAATTAGTCCACGCCCACCTGCTGTGTGGGCCCTACCCGGTCCGTATAAATTACGTTAAGAGCGGGAAATCGGCTCCCATTTTTTCTTCAGCGAGCTAATATAGCACTGTCAGAAGAACAAAGAAGATAAGTTGTGTAAATGACCAACCTTGTGAAGGATGCTGGGCCCGGCAGTCGACCTCCGGTCGTCCGGTGAGTTCTCCTCCCCGAGGAGAAGATGACAGCAGTCTTATTCCAAGGTAAGCGTCGTGGAACATTTCCCAGTGACAGGTCACTACACGCTGGACAACGCCATCTTGTGTTTTTTCCTCTTATCGCCGACCCTCGGGGCGAACCGGATGGTTCCTCCGGGGCAAGGCGTGCTCAGCTGCAGCCCCCGCTGCTCATTCCCTCCCGGGTAGCGTAGTGTAGGTGGAGGGGGGCTGAGTGAATGCTCACCCCATCCCACCTCGTTTCGCATCGGCGATCACACCGCTCCCGGCCGACGGCGCCCTCAGGGGTTGCCCGGCGGAACCCGGGAGGAGGCTGACATGAAGGGACCCCTTTTTTCTACGTCCCTCGCCTTTTCCCGCCAGTTCGGATGATCGGCGGGAAGGTTGTTTTTCACTGGGCTCCACTGTGGCTCACCGTCTTGATCCATACGGCCTCACGTTCCAACAGGACGTTCCACGGGCGAGGCCGCAGACGGTTCTTCCCTGGTAGATTAGAGGAGTCGGTCCCCAGTCCGCTCCCATCACCAGAGTTGAGGGATTCACCGAGCGGGGCTATTCCTCGGTAACCCCTCCTGGAGCCAAGCCTCGCGGAAGCTTCCGGAGCGAAGCTGCCCAGGCCGGAGCAGCGTCCCGTCCCTCCGGAGGAACACGAACCAGACGGCGAACACGCTCTCGAATCGAGCCCACCAATGTGTTTTTCAGGCAGCCGCAGTTAGCAACAACGCGCGCTGCTAGCACATAGCATGTCCAAGGGATTGAAGGCCGCAGACCTGCCTTGGAGACAAAGAACTCCCTCTGTCAGGCAGCTGACGCCAGCTCAACATGTGTGCCTCTCCCACGGTTTGCCTGTCGAGGACTGCAGCGCGGAGGACGACGACCCAACGACCCACCTGGCTTCGTTACTCCCCTCGCTGCCGGAGAATCTGCACAAGACCTGATGAAACATCGCGGACGCGCTGTTCAGAGCAGCTTCAAACCATGCTGGCGAAGTGAAACAGTCGGAGGAGGTGCCAGAGGCTGTGCACCACCTCATCAAGCCGCGCGGCCCACCCTGTCCCGCTGGAGGGACCGTCGCGAGCAAGCTTCGACTTTTCCACGGCCGCGGCTCTCGCTGAGTTCCACCACCAGCCCCGCCCGTCAGAATCCAGCCCTCTGCACTCCGGCAGCCTGCAGCTCAGCGTTTCCCCAGAGTTCGCCTGCAAGACAGCGCTCTGGGCAAACAATCGCAGAGCTCATGAGAGAGAAAGCTCTCAAAATGACGGTCTCCGGAGGGTGTGTGTAAAAGTGACACGAAAGTTGAAATAAATCATCATTAATGATCAAGTGTCTGTTTTTTAGCCAGTCTGTAAGCCCGGATGAGCTCACAGCGGCCGCACACATAAGAGCCGGTGTCCTTTATAAGGCTTTTTAAACTCACCGCCGCTCCAAGACATTATTAATCGCTTACAGGGCACGATGGTAAGTGAAAATAACTCGTTATAATCCCGGGCTGCACGTTTTTCACCCAAGTGATGTCAACTCGTACCGTGGGATGAAACAGCCCCACACACGAGCCGGTGTCCTTAAATAAAGGTTTTTAAACTCACCGTCGCTCTAAGACATGACGAGTCGATCACAGAACAGCCTCCACACATGAGCCGGTGTCCTTAAATAAAGGTTTTTAAACTCACCGTCGCTCTAGACATGACGAGTCGATCACGGCACAACGGTAAGCGAAAATAACTCATTACCAACTAGAACTGCACGATCCTCACTCAAGCGGTGTCAACTCGCACTCGTGGGATGGAACAGCCTCCACATGAGCCGGTGTCCTTAAACAGGTTTTTAACTCACCGCCGCTCTGACATGACGAGTCGATCACTAAGATGGACAGCCTCCATCCAACGGCGCTACGTTGATGCTGGCGCACACACACAGCTGCCGGCGCTAACCAGCTCACATCGGTATGAATGTGGTCCGCAGGCTGGTCCGGGTGGGGGTCCTTCTCTCTCAGCTTTCGGCAGCTCACCGCAGCTTAAACGTGAAGCAGCCGAAGAATCCGGTAATGAGTCCCACCTCCCTCTAGCGCGCGCCCCTCCAGCGAGAGCGGCGCGCGTCCCTCCAGAGAACAACGTGTGCTCCCGCGGGGCTAAGCAGCCTTCACTCCAACAGCACGGTGTAAATGAAGTCACGCCCTCCGCCTTTCAACGTTCGCACAGCGACGTCAAACGCGCAGCTCACCGCGTCATCAGCTGTCACACGCTTCGCCTTCAGCTCAAGTCTCGCCCGGGGTCACACAGAAAACATTCCCGCGACGCATGACGGCGGTTGAGGGACGGACTGCTGACAGCCGTACAAAACATGACGCATCATTAACGCACGTTCATCCACGAACGTTACGTAGAGTGGCTAAACATGCTCGCCGTTTTTCAGATGGATGGACAGGGTTTATGCAAATGGTACAAGTTACAGTTTGCAACCCGAACCCCTCCATTCAGAGGAGTTATATAAACGGTCCCGTCATCATCATCAGACTGATTCTCTTCCCTAAATGCAGAAATCCAAGTGTTTTCTGATAAAAGTAATCTACAGAGTTCCCCAAGGGAGAGAAAACACGAGGGTTTTTACTCACGGATCGGAGGGGTGAGACCGTTCTTGGATCTGTTGTTTAACATCCAGAGAACGCATACCGATCATCCTAAAACACAGAGACGAGAGTTTTTTGTTTTTACCTGGATGATCTGCGGATCCTGTCACTTCAGACAGGAGGCGCTGATGCAGGATCAGGTGTTGACATCACACCTGTTAATCTGGGCTTCGCCATAAGTGGAAGGAAGCTCGATTTTCCCGGCCCAGACATTTGTTTTTCTGGAGTGGAATTAAATTCAACCACCATGAAAACTCATTTATCACATGAGACGCCTCTAGAGGTGTTTTTGCACGTCTGCATGTGGATCCAGTAAAACAACGACGGATGATCATTGTCTTTTCCTCTGTGGAAGCAGACCTCCGACTCTGGGGAAACACCTTGTTTTTCTATCAGAGGGAGTCCCCCTCAGCAGACCCACGTCATGGGTCAGTCTTCACGGACACGTTGCTGTCAGGCTGGGGGGGGGGGGACATACCTATCTCAAGCAGTAGGGGCGCTGTGGCCCCACTACACATCAGCCCACATCAATGTTTTTGGAGTGTCGCACAGTACTGAATGTGATTCAACACCTTGCTCCTGTGCTACAGAATCAACACGTGTTGATTCACACAGACATCATGATGACTGCTGCATACATAACCATCAGGGTGTGCGTTCAGCCAGATGTTACACATTGTGCGAAAGCTACTGAGTTGGGTTCATCAAAACCTGCTTTTATTAGAGCGGTTTACATATCCGGTGTTCTGATGTGACGTCCAAGGGCGGCCCACGTTACGTGGACCGGATCCTCCATCCGGATCTGATGTTTTTCAGACGCAGCAGAAGTTGGCAAAGCAGCTGTGGACCTGTTTGCGATGCGAGAAGAACGCTCAATGTCAACTACGGTTTTCCCTGAGCCCGCGAGACGATCCATCGCTGGGGGGGGACGCATTTGCTCACAGTCGGTGGCCCAAAACGCTTTTTACGCGTTTCTTTCCCCCCCACCTCCTCTGTTTTTTACGGTCCATGAACCGAGTTCAAGAGGAGGGATTGACAGCCCTCCTTGGTGGCTCCCGGCGTGTGAACGCACTATGGTTCCCAGGCCTGCAACGTCTGTTGTTGGGTCGCCGTGGAACTGTCATGGAGGAAGGATGCTCTCCTTCAGGCAGGAGGAGCGACCAAGAGTTACCCAGAAATAGGTCAACACCGGTGGGTCTGACCGCTGAGCGGTTCCACTTAGAGGATGGGTCTCCCTCAGGAGATAGTGTGCACAATTCAAGATTCACGTGCTGCATCTACCACAGTTCTGTACACATCAAGGGGACGGCTTTTCAGCGCTGGTGCACAGAGAAGGTTTAGAGACCACCTCATGCCTTTTAAGCGGCGTGTTGTTTTTCTACAACAGCTGATGGATAGGGAGTTGGCTTTCAGTACGCTTTAACGTACGATTGCAGCCATCTCTTCCTGCCACAAAGGGTTTGGAGACAGAACAGCTTTTAATCACCCGCTGATGAAGCGGTTTCTAAAAGGTGTACAGAGATGTAGGCCTGTTTTCACGCCCACTTGTTTTCCACAGTGGGTTTAACGCTGGTCCTGCGAGCCCTGATCAAAGCTTCAATTGAGCCTCTGGATCAGGTTTCATTTAAATTCTTGTCTCTTTTAACAGCCCTGTTGCTGGTTTTAACACCCGCTAAGAGGGTAAGTATTTATCTGCCCTCTCTGTTGCTTCGTCATGCCTTAGAATTAGGCTGACGGGCAGCTCAGCTGATTTAAGACCAACCCAGCTTTTATGCCTAAAACATCACGAGCTCTTTTAAATCAAGAGTGATATCGTTGGAGGGGTCTTTTCCCCCCCACAGATCAGAAGAGGAAGCATCTTTTCATCTTCTCTGCCCGGTGCGGGCGTTGACGTGTTACATAACGCACACAGCTGCAATGCGTTTCAAACTCAACAATGGTTTGTGCATTATAGAGATGCTTCTACAGGTCGCCGTTATCCATCCAGCGCTTGTCACACTGGCTGTGTGAGGCCTTTTCTGAAGCCTACAGAGCATCAGATTTAGAGCCTCCTGTCAACCTCTAAGCACACTCGACCAGGGGTATCGCATCTTCGACTGCTCTGCATAATGGTATGTCAATGCAGGACATCTGCACTGCGGCTGCATGGTCAACACCCTGCTCATTTATTCGCTTTTACCTACGTGATGTAACGGCTCGTTCCATGACACATTCTGTCCTTAGTGCTCTAACAGAATGAATGTTATTGTTCTCATGGAACTCTGTTTAAGCTCACTTCTGTCTGCATGCATTACAGTGTGAGATGTTGTTATCAGTCACAAGTCGTGTCTGTGATTTTGGTTATATTGTCACTAATCAGTTCATGATTATTGTTACCAATCAGTTCAATTGATTTATAATCAATTTATGGACATTAATCTGTTTATACTGTTCAGCCATGAACCAGTTGGTTCATGCCCCCCCCCCCCCCCCTCTTTTCAACTTCTTCTTCCCGTTGAAAGTTTTCCGGGGTATTCATGCTTTGTCAGAACGCATAGCTACACAACATGCGTCTGTGCATGGCACATAATTACGCGATGCGTAGTTATGCACATGGGGAGCTGAGTGACAAGACGTTTTTTTGGGCAAGCTTCCGCTTCTTACTGTGTTCGAATGGACCCAGTGAGGCGAGGACCACATCGGCTTCGCCCTTTACCCACTAAAGCGAAGGCCTTAAAGGGCGAAGCTTATATGACATAGAACGTTGGTTACGTACTGTAACCCCAGATTCTATGAATATAAGCGTAGCCCTTTAAGCGTCGGGCCTCACTGGCTCCTAAATGGCTGAAGAAAAAAGCTATTTTGGGAGCCGATTTCCCGCTCTTAACGTAATTTATACGGACCGGGTAGGGCCCACACAGCAGGTGGGCGTGGACTAATTTTTTTCAGTGCTTATGCTCTGCATAACGGGATAAACCCACTAAAGCGAAGGCCTTAAAGGGCTACGCTTATATTCATAGAATCTGGGGTTACAGTACGTAACCAACGTTTTTCTTTTTTTAAATTTATTTATTTATTTATACAAATGTAGCATTTAGTAATTCTGAATAATATGGAAGTGCAGTAGTCTCAAAAATATCCACACAAGAATACAGTAAGATTTTAATTTGCACAACAAGATTAACAAAAATGTACTGCAAAAATTGTATACAACAATTCTTGCTTGTGTACAACATAATCCACAAATGTGAATGAAAATGGACTTGTTTTAAAAAAACTTGTCCATCATTGACACAGATCAAAACTGTTGTCATTTGGTTCTGATAGATTTTAGAAAAAAATTGTTGGCATCATCATGGCGTGATCTTTAGCTCTCAATGGAGCGATTTGCAGCCGAGTGTGAAGCAGCTGGGATGAGACTCAGCACCTCCAAATCTGAGGACATGGTCCTCAACTGAAAAAGGGTGGATTGCTCTCTTCAGGTTGAGGGTGAAGTTCTGCCTCAAATGGAGGAGTTCAAGTATCTTGAGGTTTTGTTCACGAGTGAGGAAAAAATGGAGCATGAAATTGGCAGATGGATTGCATCTGCAGTATTGCGGACTCTGTGCCGGTCCGTTGTGGTGAAGAGGGAGCTGAGCTTTAAGGAAAATCTCTCTGTCTACCTGTCAGTCTACGTTTCCTACCCTCACCTATGGTCATGAACTCTGGGTAGTGACTGAAAGAATGAGAATGTGGATAGAGGTGGTTGACATGAGTTTCCTCTGCATGGTAGCTGGACTCTCCCTTAGAGATCGAGTGAGAAGTTCAGTTATCCGGGAGGGACTCGGAGTAGAACCGCACTCCTCCACATTTAGAGGAGACAGCGAAATAAGTCTAGGGAAAGACAAGACAAATGTCCTACGAGTAACAGTGATGAAGGTGAAACTCTTCCCGTCTTCAACTTGGCTGTGTAAATGAGGGAAACATTATTGTTTTAATGTAGAAATAAATGTAAAGGGTGTTATTTATGGGCAGCTTAAGGAAGTGTACCTGCACTCAAAAAGACATTTGTTCTGACTGTTTATATGTGTTAATAATAACTCACATGGAAGATGAGCAAAAGTTATTTTACAACAAAAAACTATCACCAGTGACACTATTAAAAAAACACATCTGAAAAGGATGACCTCAAATTCAAATCTGTGTTCTTTATACACAAATTAATACACACTTTATACTCAATACAATATTGTGAACCTTTTAAAATATATATTATTTGTTTATATTGTTTTACAAAGTAACTTGTACTTATACTTTATATTTTTGCTATTTTTGGGTGCAGCTGGGACCGCGAGTACATAATTTTGTTCCACCACATGTGCGAATAACAATAAACTTGAACTTGTTGAGTCTGAAGACTGTTGGAGTCAACCTCCCCATCATCACAGACATATACACCTCCAGAAGCAGGAAGAGGGCCACCGGCATCACGAAAGACCCCACTCACCCAGCACACACACTTTTTGCCCCACTCCCCTCAGGCAGGAGGTTGAGGAGCATTAAGTATAGAACCACTAAACTGAACTGCTTATGTCCTGAAGCTGTTAGACTCATAAATCCCTAACCAGAAATCACTGTAATGCCACTTTAATTGGTGTCATGTGACTTTATCTGTGCTGCTGATCATCCATGCTGCTGATTTCTTGCCTTTGAGCTGATGCATTCATACCCATCTGCCCACACCAGACTCTTATTCAGGCTGTTGTTTAATATGCTGCGTTGTATTGCATTGTTATAGTTATTTCTTATCCTTGTACACTGTTTCTTTTTATGCTTTATGTCTTTGAAATTTTTGTGTGTAACTGGGACCTTAAGTACGCAATTTCGTTCCACCTCATGCACCACATGTGATGTGAATGACAATAGAGAACCTTTAACCTTGAACCTTGTCTTGATGTTTTAATTTGTATGTTTGTGCACTAGGTGATGAACTGTTTCTTTTAGATTTAGAATTTGTGGCAATAAAAAAAAAAGGACAGAAAGTTTTAGGCGATGCGCGGTTTTGACAGCAGGGGGCAGCATAATAAAAAGAGTTTTAGGCGATGCGCGGTTTTGACAGCAGGGGGCAGCATAATAAAAAGAGCCAAAATCAGTAGAAGAAGAAGAAAAATTGTCGGTGGGAAAAATCGTGTTTTTGAGCGCAAGGAAGAAACATATTAAATCATTATGGTGAGTTTATAATTACTAGATTCGAGTATTTGGTTGTTTTATCATCTTAAGAAGCTTACTTATAATTGTCTTACAAATGCAGCGAGAACTGCTTCTTAAAACGGACTAATCGAGGGGAGAGCTAACTTGTTAGCTACTGAGGCTAAATGTATTATCCGTGCTACTTTCTAAAGTCGGAACATGTAACAAACAACTTTAGAAATACTCTTTATCGTTCTTTAAGCGCATATATCACCCAGTTTAATCCTGGACTTTATATTTTGTTGTAACATTAGTTTTTATGAGTCATTTCATAATAATGCAACGCTAGACTCGAAAGCCTAGAATGCCAGTCACATGTAATTTACCAAAATTAAACACTCACGGTCGTTTAATGGTTTTCACTGTGCAGCAGGCAACACGTTGTAGATATGTTTACAAGTTACTTACGTGTTTCCTGGTTTTTCTGGTGTTTTTCAGCTTCCTCTGTCTTTGTTGAAGACTGCCCAGAATCATCCCATGGTGAGGAGGCACCCTCTGCAAGCAATCAACCTGTGCAGGAATCTCATAATACTCATATAATTTAGTCTGCAAAGTGTAAATTACGAGTAATTTAATCTTTCAAATTGAACCAAGAAACTAGTGTTTGTGTGAAGAATTTTGCAGGCTACAGCAAGCTGAAAGTGGTCTGTTTGTCTTGTTTTTTGCTTTTTAGCTGGTGGAGTTGAAGAATGGAGAGACTTACAACGGCCATCTGGTTAGCTGTGATAACTGGATGAACATCAACCTGAGAGAGGTCATCTGCACATCCAGGGTATACCATACCATACCAATTTATTTATAGAGCACTTAAAACAGCAACAAGGCCAACCAAAGTGCTGTACAATAGAAACAAACGAGCACAGCGGACAGGAAAACATAAAATAAAAAAATAGATACAAAAAGCGGCAGATAACTAAATGGCCAACACTGTAGACTACAGACAGGATCAAAACAGATCACACCGTGTCAAAGGCAAGAGAATAAAAGTGGGTTTTCAGGTGAGACTTAAAGACTGTGAGTGTGGGAGTCTGTCTGACACGCAGTGGCAACTCATTCCACAGTCTTGGACCTGCAACAGAGAAAGCCCCGTCACCTCTTGAGTTTTCGACGAGTTTCTGGAACTGAAAGGAGCATCTGAACTACTGACCTCAGAGAGCGCGGTGGGACATATGGCTGTAGAAGATCAGTAAGATAGGATGGGGCAAAACTGTTCAGTGATTTAAAAACATACAAGTATTTTGATCTGGATCTGAAAGTGAATGAGTAGCCAGTGCAGGGAGGCCAAAACTGGAGTAATGTGCTCTCTATGGCCTGTAGCAGTTAAAAATCGGGCTGCAGCATTTTGGACCAGTTGTAGACGTGCAATGGAGGATTGACTGATTCCAAACAGAAGCGCACTGCAGTAATTGAGCCTGGATGTTATGAACGCATGGATCACTGTCCCAAGATTCTTTTTGGACAGTATGGGCTTCAGCTTAGACAGCCGCCTCAGCTTAAAAAAACAGGATTTAACAATCATGTTTACGTGACTGTTAAGTTTCAAAGAAGGGTGCGTTGTTAAGTTTCAAAGAAGGGTACGTTGTCACTCCCAGACTGGTGACTCTGGTTCTCTAACGGGGCTAGAGAGGAAAGGTCAATGCAGTGGTTCATGAGCGTGCCATTGGGATGGAACAAGATGACTTCAGACTTCTTCTCGTTGAAACTCAAGTTTAAAGCCATCCAGTCCCGGATGTCAGCCAGCCAGGCAGTCAAGAAGAGGTTGAATAGAGCGTGTGCCTCAGGGGGAAGTAAATTTGACAGTCATTGGTGTAGAAATTAAAGTGTATGTTGTGATCGTGGAAAATGGCACCTAGTGGCAGCAGGTATAAAGAAAAGAGAAAGGGACCGAGGATGGACCCCTGCGGTATCCCCCACTACCTTTCTATCTAACCAGGATACTCTTGCTTTACAACCCAACTTGTGCCCTCATTTATCCATCATCTATGTCATTATCCACACATGTTCATACAGACTAATCAGTGCTATCACATTTAAATGCCAATGGGACACGCATTGGAGGTAATGAGACGTTCAATGTCTTGCCCAGGGACACTTCAACATGTGACTGCATGTTGGGTTGGAAGTCAACCACCAACTCACTCATAGGACCACAACTCCAATCACTCAGCCACAGCTGCACACACAAAATAAGTTCTGCTCTCACTTCTCTGTGGACACCAACGTCCCAGATGTAGTGTTTCTATGTTTCTATCAATAGTACCTGTTGACAGGGCATTGAAGTGATTTCAGTGTGGAAAGCTCAAATGTGAAGATGTTAGTTCGCTCATTATGCATTCAGATTTGATGCCACCTAATCCTGTGGTCTGCATATCTATACTTGAAATGTACAGAGTCCTTCACTTGATACATAATTCAAACAGCTGCTAGTCAAGAGCAGTGATGAGATGAAACAGTTTAAAGTGATTGACAATTTTAAGAATAATCATGGCCTAGTTGGATTGGTTTAAAATATAAAGGTCATGGCTTTATTATTTACATTTTGTAAGGATTTAATAAATGGGTTGTGTTCATTGTGCTACTGCAAATTTAAACTGTGCAGGACTATGTCATTTTAGTCTCACTGAAATGACACAGCAATAAAGCATTCAGACCACAGATAATCCTTCAAACACGTGGAGATTTTAAAGTCATATGTGAACAGACCTACAAAAATCAAACCAGATCCTTGGCTTAATGGTACCACTCGGACTTTTAGACAACGCTGCAGGAAAGCAGAACGCAGATGGAAGAAAGACAGGCTTCATGTGTCCCAGGACATACTGAAAGACTGTCTTCATGAATATCAAAAAGCTGTTAAGCAGGCCAAATCACAATATCTTTCCAATTTAATTTCTACCAGTTGTAACCGGCCAAGGGTTTTATTTAATACCATTCAGTCTGTCATTAATCCCTCCATCAATGTTCTGAAAACTGCTACACAGTCTACCTGTGATGGTTTTCTTGATTACTTTGTGAACAAAATTGACTCTATCAAGCAGAACATTGTCAGTGCATATAATGCTGTTTAGTTATGTGCTCCCTCAATAACCTCTGCTGTGTTTGATCAGTTCCACCTGGTGTCACTACCTCACCTCGTTAAGGTGGTTCAGCAGATGAAACCTACAAACTGTACCCTGGACATCATTCCTTCTAAGATGTTCAAGCAGTCCTTGGATGTTATTGGTCCTTGTCTTCTGACATTTATTAATAGCTGTCTAAGTTCAGGTTATGTCCCGTCTGTTTTCAAACATGCTGTGGTCAGGCCTCTTCTTAAAAAAACAGGTTTAGATCCTACAGCTTTTTCTAATTTTAGGCCAATTTCACATTTATCAATTTTATCCAAAGTTCTGGAAAAGGTTGTTTTCATTCAGTTGCAATCTTTTTTAGAACACAACAACTTGTTTGAAAAATTTCAATCTGGCTTCAGACCCCGTCATAGAACTGACTCTGCACTACTCAAAGTACAGAATGATATTCTTTTGTCCCTTGATGCCAAAAAACCTGTTCTGCTGGTGATGTTGGACCTCTCAGCAGCTTTTGATACTGTAGACCATCAGGTCCTAATCACTCGTTTGGCTCAGCAGGTTGGCCTTCAGGGTGTTGTGCTCGAGTGGTTTAAGTCCTATTTAACAGAGAGAACTTTCTCTGTTATGATAGGTGATCTGTCCTCTTCTTCTGTCTCTCTGACCTCTGGCGTACCGCAGGGATCCATTCTGGGGCTTGTTCTCTTCTCACTTTACATGCTACCGTTAGGACCCATCATTGCACGCCATAATCTCTTTTCATCTGTATGCAGATGATCTACAAATCTATCTGTTAGTCACTCCCAGTTCCTCACTCAGTTTAAACTCTATTGCCAGCTGCTTAAACGACATTAAGCACTGACTGTCTCAGAATTTTCTTCACCTAAATAACGATAAAACTGAATGGATTTTATTTGGTGCTTCCAGTAATTCATGCAACATCTCTCCCAGTCTAGGTTTTCCGCTCCCCCACGCCAACCAGGTGGTAAAAAAAATCTAGGAGTGGAGCATGACTGTAATTTAAAGTTAGATAAACAGATCAGTTCTGTTGTGAAAACCAGCTTCTTTCAGCTCCGTCTGCTTTCTAAAGTAAAGTCACTCCTTAGCCATAGTGATCTGCAGAAGGCCATCCATGCCTTTGTAAGGTCTAGGCTTGATTACTGTAACGCCTTATATGTCGGTATTAATCAATCTTCTATCTCCCGTTTACAGCTTGTGCAAAACTCTGCTGCTCACTTGTTGACTAACACATGTAAATATGAACATTTCACTCCTGTCCTTTCTTCTTTACACTGGCTCCCAGTTCAGTTTAGGATACAGTTCAAGCTGCTGTTTGTTTTTAAAGCTTTGAATGGCCTTGCACCACCTTATATTTCAGAACTTTTGAAAGTCCACCAGCCCAGCAGAGCTTTACGGTCTGCTGGTCAAAATCTGCTGGAGGTGCCTTGCTCAAGGTGCAAACAATGGGGGGGGACCGGTCCTTTTCTGTTGCAGGCCCAACAGCCTGGAATACTCTTCCCCATGAGCTGCGTGCCATCTCTGATCTGGTTCTGGTCCAAGCCACACTGAAAACATACTTATTTAAAAGGGCTTTTAATGTTTAACTATTAGTATTTATTTATTTATTTTATCTCTTTTACCTTCTTTTATTCTGGCTGTGTTTTTAATTTGCACTGATTTATTGTGTCCTTTTTTTAATCTAGTTTTATCTTGTAAAGCACCTTGGTCAATGCAAGGCATTGTTGGAAGGTGCAATAGAAATAAAGTTTATTATTATTATTATTAACAGGGCCAGCGACTGATTACCAATCTATACTGGCCGTTACATGTCACTGATGCGTGGGGACTTGTCTTCTAAAACTCAAACTTGTTGAAAATGTTTTATCCAACAAACAATCAACAAAGGTTTAATGTAACTTTAAAAAAAAACAAAACAGAATCTTCATTGTCTCTCGCTTATTCCATTCTCACAGGATGGAGATAAATTCTGGAGGATGCCCGAGTGTTACATCCGAGGAAGCACCATCAAGTATTTGCGAATTCCAGATGAGATCATCGACATGGTGAAGGAGGAGGTGGTGTCAAAGGGCCGTGGGCGCGGTGGTTCCCAGCAGAATAAGCAGCAGGGCAAAGGAAGAGGAGGACCCGGTCGAGGTAAAAGGAAGCGATTTTTGCAGATTTTTGTGTAAAGTGTTTTATATTAATACTGAAATAATTTGTTGTCAGAGTCGGAGGTAACGCGGGTGAGCATTTTCTCCTTTTGCTTCTTTTCTGCAGGTCTGTTTGGCGGCCGTGGCAGAGGGATGTCCGGTCCTGGTCGGGGACAGCAGCAGCAACAGCAGCAGCAGCAGCAGTCGGATAAGAAACCAGGCAAACCACAAGGCATGAAGAACCAGCACTGACGAACAGTACTGCACTTTTGAAGCCACATCCAGTTGAGTAGATGCAGATATAAAGTACTCTGTTGTTTCTTTCTGCTGTGAAGTTGAGAATAATTTATTGTTGCAAACATTTTTTTTTTTGTACCTGAATATTAAGATTTTCTTTTAACTGTTATTGAATACAGGTTTTCATGGTGTAGAAAGGGTTGAGTCTAAAATTTGTTGCTTGAATATTTTTTTTAGCTTCTTAAATCATTTGCAACTCCCATCGTCTGAATATTACTCTTTTTAAAACCACAGCAGGTACAACAGTAGTCACAGCTGAGAGGATTCACTTCCTGAACACTTTTGTTATAACGTTTGTAAAGTGACTACATGAGAACATAAATAAAACGTTTTTTGTTAAAACATTATGGTTTCTTTGAACAATAAATGTTTTTTTTAATGTCTCCTGATATATTTATGTCATGAAGGATATAAATTGAATATCTGTGTAAACACAGAAGTGAATTTCATCTAATTCCTCTTTATATAGTGAGATATTTCTGGCTGTTGCAAACCCACATGGATGGATGTCATTTCATATTACAAAACTAAATTATTTCAGCAAATAATAGAATAGACATCAAACCACATTAAAATCAAGATTCAAAGCAAAAACTTGAATTTTATTTTTATTTTTTTCTCTGTCCATCCATTATCTTTTACACGCTTCTTCCTTTTTGGGTTGTGGGGGTCACTGCTGCCCATGTCCAGCTATCACCGTGTGAGAGGTGGGAGACACCCTGGACAGGTCTCCAGTGTGAGAGGTGGGAGACACCCTGGACAGGTCTCCAGTCCATCACAGGGACACATAAAGACAAACGAGACAAACAACCATTCACTCTCTCACTCACCTAGGGACAATTTAGAGTTACCAATCAGCCTAACATGCATGTTTTTGGTCTGTGGGAGGAACCGGAGTACAGATTGAGGGAGTATCAGAGAAACTGAGACGTTTATTTTCTAAACATAACGTCCCAGTGACTTTTAAACCCCAAAATACATTACGGCAAAGACTGGTTCATCCCAAAGATCCAGTCCCCCGGCACAAACAGAGTAATGTTGTGTATGCTGTTCAGTGTCAGGAGGGCTGGAAACTAAACAGCCACTGGCCAAAAGGATGGACCAGCACAGAAGATCAACATCATCAGGCCAGGACTCTGCGGTCTACACTCATCTCCAGGCCAGTGGTCACTCTTTCAAGGATGAAGATGTTCACATCCTGGACAGAGAGGAACGATGGTTTGAGAGAGGAGTAAAGGAGGCCATCTTTGTGAAAATAAATCGTCCATCATTAAACAGGGGTGGAGGCCTCCGGGTTCAACTGTCCCCCTCTTACAATGCTGTGATTGCTAGTATCACTCAGCCCTCTGGGAACAGTAAACAGCCATCAGTGTGCTAATGACCCATTGTTAGGCTGATGGTCCTTCTTGAGCATGTGATCAGCTGGTTTTGGTTGTCAGCAGCAAAACTGGTTGATCCACTCTGAGAAGGTGCTATTTAAGAGACTGAGCTGAATACAGCACCTCAGACTGAGGAAGTCTCTCGGATGAGAGACGAAACGTTTCTACATTTTTTGCTTTGTTTTGTGAATGTCCAGAGGACCCGATTTAACTTTTTTTTTTTAAGAAATTACAGTATTGTTTTTTTTCTGTAAGCAAAAACAAAAATCTTCCTCTTCACCTGTTTAACATGCCAAAAAGTTCATTGTGAAGCACTACTCAACAATTAATGTAAAATTTTTAACTGAAAAAGTATCAAAATACGAAAGAAAATAACCTGAAGAACTATTGATCAAGACCAATGGGTTCTTCTTGAAGCAAAGTATAAAGAAGTTTAGATGCACAGTGCTGTGTAATGCAAATATAATTTCCATAAGTCTCAGAATAATCTAAAACAGTGGCTGTAAGGTAAAGAAAATCCCAATTGTGTAATCTGTATGCACATGGCAACTCTAAGCAACAAAAAAATTGTTTTTAGTCTAAAATAAATAAATTTAAAGTCTTTCTCAGCTTTGACCACTAGGTGGCGACATTGATTAACAAAACTTCACATCCTACACTCACAAAGATGCAGAATTACGAGATTAAATCTTTTAACACATTTTATTAAAAATAAACATTTGGATAGACACAACAAAGTATATTCATAATGTATGTACTGCACTTAGAGTAAAGTCTAAGGACCACAGTCATGACCCTTGTTCTTTTTATTATGTGACATTTTGGCAATGCAGAATTTCTACTGGTGAAAAATATTTGTACAAAAAAAAATCCAATTAAATAAAACGCAGCAGGCAACAAAAACGAGAAAAAAAGATGTAGCACTAACGTTTGGTTTATAAACCAATGTAGCAAAAGGTGGTGGTGGTGGTGTGTATGTGTGTGTGTGTGTGTGTGTGTGTGTGTGTGTG